ACAATCGCGGCTTTTTTTTTTTTTTTTTTTTTTTGCTGCTTGGGGTGGCAAAAACCCTGGAGCCAGCCCTGTTTAAAGCTCCCTGCAATGGAGCTGGAAGCTTGGGAGCCTCAGCTCTATCATCTATATTTCCCCCCCTCCCCCGTTGCATTCCAAATGTTGCTCTAGCCTTTCCCCTTAACCTGGTAACTCAATATATTTCTCCCCCTTTCAGAGAGAAATACAATTCAAAATTATCCTTAAAATTCATTTGCTACCCATTTCAAGCCCTAGTTTGTTCTTATGGGCTTACCCCTCTGACTCCTGTCACATAGCACTGTCACAGGAGTGCTCTGAATCTCTCTGTACAGAGTTAATAGATAAGGGGCCATTGGATGGTGCTCAGGTGTGTTCAGCATGTTTCTATAGGTTTGTAGGACCAATACAAATTTGTTCTTGTGTACATCAAACAGCGTCCTCTGACAGCTCTGTTTCCTTCACCTTTAAGAAGCACCAACTTCTGCCAGTGTGTTGCCATCCCCTAAATTTTCATATGATTCTGTCATTGAAAGCATTAACAGTGCCTGTTATTAGAGCTGCTCTCCTATGATGCAAACTCTGCAGATGCTTCTGCTCGGACCCTGCCAATGGGTGTAGATACCGGAGACTTGCCATTTAATTTTTTGAGCTGAATAGTCCAATTGGGAGTCCCTCAAATTGGAAGTTTCTAGCAAAGCTGGATATAGAGTCTCCTTTTCATTGCAGCCCAGACCAAAGAACTACTAAGCAGTACACTGAAACTATGCTTGACATGAAGGAGAGAGTCAGATTTTTAGCTTTCTTGGTTGGTCTTAAGCAAAAATCTCCCACATCGCCTTAGTGACTTGCTGTGTTTGGCTTGAGTATCAAAGTATACTGAAATGGGCATTAGTTATTGAACTGTTATGTTTCCCACATTTTTACGTGTATCCCATATTTATCATTGTAGCATCTAGGACAGTGGTGGGCAACCTGTGGCCCGTACCCGGCCCGTCAGGGTAATCCACTGGCGGGCCACAGGACAGTTTGTTTACATTGACCGTCCACAGGCATGGCTGCCTGCAGCTCCCAGTGGCCATGCTTCCAATGGGAGCATTGGCTGGGAACGGCGAACCGCGGCCACTGGGAGCTGCGGGTGGCCATGTCTGCAGACAGTCAATGTAAACAAACTGTCTCGCAGCCCGCCAGCGGATTACCCTGCCGGGCGGCCCACAGGTTGCCCACCACTGATCTAGGAGCATTTGGCATGGGCTAGGCCCCCATTGTGCAAGGTGCTGCATAAACAGAGAACTGAAGTTCCTGTCCTAAGGTGTTCACCATCCAAGTATAAGACTAGTGACAGCAGGTGAATGCGGATGTGGGGAGTACAAGGAAACAATGCCACTATTGGTCAGCATGATAGGCAGTGGTCTCAGCACAATAGTGGCCTAACCGTTGTTTTATATGGGTCTTGCGACAGAAGAGACTTTTTAAAGGAGGGATTTGAAGGAGGATAATTATTCATTCAGCAGATGTTTATGGGGAGTGCCTCCCAAGTGTGGTGGGCAGCATGGGAGAAAGCACAATGGTGCTTGTTTGAAGATTTAACAAAAGAGCAATGCAGGTTGGCATAATTGGCTGAGATTGCCATTTCAGTAGAGAATATGAGATAAGTAGGGAGGAGATAAGCCATAAACGGCCTTGAAATTGAAGACAAACAGCTTATGTTTGTCACAGAAAAAGGAGAGCTAGTACTTTAGATAGTACAGTATTATTAATTATACCTGGTCTTCGACAGCATCTGACTTCGTGGCTACCAATCTTGAAATTAACATTTGCTGTTCTCTAACTTAATCAAACCTGTGACAGAGCGAGATTGTGAAGGATGTAATTCTGTATCAAAGCAACCAACATTAATTTTAGTGAATGAGCTAGGAAGAGAGAACAGAAGAAATATAACCTTGATCAGGCATGACTATTCTGTTCTGGGTGATCCTATAAAAAATCTTGTGAAGATTTTTGACCGTCTAGTTATTGGCAGATGTTGGATTGTGTATGTGTTTATATTCAATAGGAGCAGGCTCATCACTTTACCTAGATGGTAAACACATACATAATCCAACATCTGCCAATAACTTACTGAAACAAGATTACATATTGTTCTGTTAAGCAATGATGTTTGTCCTAACAAGCATCACAACGCTGAGCCAAATTGATGCACTGAATGTAAGAAAAAACCCCAAAACCTACTTTCCCCAAACACCTGCATATTGTATAGAATTATTGCGCATTTGTCTGTCTGCCTACAGAGCTCCCTTTAACTGCAGCTGTGCTACATTTTTGCCGTAGAAATTCAAACATTTGTTCTGCTTACAATATCTTGCAACATTTCAAGGCAGAGGAAATTGGGCGTGCATTGTAAAAGTAAGGCTGCATGAAATATGGTGGTGACCTTAATTATTTTCATTTGGTACATATGTGCTGCAGGAAGTTTGACCCTTAACGTGAGTTCTGCTTTATGACTCCATATCTTTCACCTGTTCTCCATTAGATGGAACATTCCTTTTTCTGACAGATTGATTCTCTTTCTCCCCCCCCCCCTTTTTTTTTTTTGTCTGGAAGATGTTATCTTTCATTGCACTCTGAAATTTAAAACAATGCTGCCTCATTAACCATGCATTTCATGCATCCGGACTTGTATGTTAGCTTTCAGAGTTCCTGTATCATATTTCACATAGTTACTTCACTCTACCACATGGTAAATGTTACTGTTCCACATTTGGCTATACAATGGAGAAAAATATGTATGGGGAAAGTTACTCTTTCATTATGCTATTTGTGCTTAGTGATTTTTATTAATATGCTATTCAAAGTTGGAGGATTAAAAAAGCATGATTCCCAATACTCCAATGAAGTTAAAATGGTATTTACCATGTTAAACTCTCAGGTCATACTGCTGAAGAATTTAAACCTCCACTTTTACTTAAATCTTAAATCTGCTGCAGTAGTACAAATCCAGACCTTTTATAGATGACAATTTAGCTTTGAGAGAATGATGTGATCATTTGAGTTAATTGTAAAGGTACTTATCAAACTATGGTACAATAATTAATCTAAAGTATTTAATTTCCCCTTTCCCCCACATAATTTTTTTGGGGGGGGATTATACACTCCTGAATTGGGATTGTTCCCCCTCTCTCTATCCATACCTTTCTATCTTCAAAGAATCAGAAAATTGATAGTTCTGAGAGTAAACTGCACCAAAGCCTTAGTTCAGCAAAGTATATAAGCACATGCTTAACTTTAAGCACATGTCTAAGTCACCAATATTCAACAAAGCATGTGAGCACATGCTGAAGTGCCACCGACTACTCCTGGGAAAACAGCAGTATCTTACAGTACATAGTAAAAGTTATCATATATGGTAGTGTGGTGAACCAAGCTTGGAAGCAAATTCCAGAGCCAAGTACTTTTCACTTCACCTGAATGTTTGTCATAATGAACATTAACATCTATTGACTGTTTTGATTTATTCCCGGACAGTGTGTTTTCTTGGAAACTCAAATGTTGTGGAGGGGTTAATCAGAGCTGTTACCTGGTTATAAGGAGCCTTTCAATGCAAAGTCACTTGTTCAAGTTGTAAGCAAAAATTGTTCTCCATCAGCTGGTTGCTCAATGTGAAATGAGCTACTGCTCTCAGTCCAGTCCCTCTAGTTACCAAATGTCCACATCACAAGGCCACTATCATCACAATTGGCACCATTGTTTGCAGTATCAGCAGACAAACCGAGGACTCACTAGTTAAGAAATCTGCCCTGCCCTGTAAAGATGGTCCTTGGAGGTCAGATTTGAAGCACATTGGCAGGATTGTGTCAGTAAGTTTGCACAGTTACTGCCATTGTGTGTGTGCGTGACACTGTGGTATAGTCGATAGAATATTGGACTGTGATCGCTGGTTTCTATTCCCAGATCTGCCACTGGCCTTCTGAGTGATGGTGAGCAAGTCACTTCACCTCTGTGCTTCAGTTTTACCAGCTGTAAAATGGCGATGATAATACTGACCTCCTTTTGCAAAGGCTTTGAGAGGTATGGATGAAAAGCACTATATAAACGCCTACCGGTGGTGATGATATTATTTAAAGGGTAGATGGAGGATTTCTGTGCAGCACCTTTCATAAGCACCTGTGAAGGGGTCCACTCACAGCTAGGCAGGGTGCCGCCTCCTGGCAATTCTGGGGATTAGCTCTGACAGGCTGACACCCTTCCTGTGCGTGCCCTTAGTCTCTCTCTGTCTGCAGCCCCCTCTCGCTCCTACAGGGATTTAAATACAATCTCCAGTTGCTAGGGTTGACAGGCACAAGAAACCAGGCTCAACTTCTTCAGCAGAAGACAGAAAATGTGTGCATGGATGAAGATTTGGAGAACGTATTTAATTATCCCTCCCCCATACACCTACACTTACATTTCCCTTACCCATCCCAGCATCCTGACTCCAGCGTAGTGGTGGAATATTGGAGGACAGGATCTAATTATGTTTGGGGGAAGGGCCCCCCAAAAGTGTTTTGCAGGCTTGACCAAAAATGTTAAGGAAGAATTTCTTGTTAACCCTTTCATCCTCCTTTATGCCTAGGACTGAGCCAATTGCTGCTCAGTTTGGAGCAGTGGTGTGCCTACCAGCTATTAAAGTGGAATGACTTTCCTGTGTCCCCCATCAATACAACTTGGAGTGGATGGGCATTGTACCATGTGATCCCTGTAACCTCTCTGTGCCCAAATTGGAGACGGTAGGGCCAAGCTGATGTCACACTCATTGCTCAAGCCTTGCTCATTGCTGATGTCCATCTGCTCAGCCTCTGCCTCCAGCATGAAGAAAATAGCACTGGGAGGAAAGCTACTAGTCCTTTCCCCTACTACTTTCTCTCTCCCCGGCCCCCCACTCAAACCAGCTTGGGGAAACCTGCTCCACCACCCAATCCTCACACAAATTAAAGGACACAACCATCAGCACAGACTGATCCACTTCAAGAACCAGACAGGTCCTGTGCTGTAATCTATAATCTACCACCTGTACTACCACCAAAAAGGGGGGATGCCTGCTCCTCACCCACCCAAGCAATCATCTCCACAACCATAGGCCACCAGGATGCCCACCTGCCATTACTGGTGCCACCAAAGGCTGCAGGACAGCCTGCCTGTCTCTGCTGTTGCTAAAACCAACTGCTAGGTAAGGGAGCCTCCTAGAGGACTTTCCATGGAGTACTGAGGTGGGTGGCAAGCATATGGGCCAAGGGAGAGGAGAGGAAAGGTGTGTGTATTTGGATGGCAGAAGAATATGAAATTTTTGGAGTGGAGGTGAGAGAGAGAGAGAGAGAGATGGTGATGATGGGATTTATTTTTATCCACAGAATGTGCAGTCACTTTTCATTAAAGCAGGAAATTTTTCAGGGAACCCTTTGATATTTTGCTTGCATCTTGTTCATCAATGAGATGTTTCTACTTAATATTTAATTGTTTCTTTGCCAAAAACACATGGAGAACCATTCTGGAAATGGCATACTATCTGGCTTCTATTGGCCTGAGTAGCTGCTGTCTTTCTGTGCAGGCCAATTGTCTAGAGCGAATAGACTTTATGTTGTTGCTTTTTACCTCGTTCAGTAAGGACCATGACAAGTTTGAGGACTTAGCTAACAGGAATGAATTATTCTTGACAATTGTTCTATCTTACAGTAATGGTAATTGCCTTAAGAATATGGACAAGGGAGAAGCTGAAGGACATTGTGCCAGTCCTTGCAAGAACCCTTGGCTAGCTAGTTGTGAGGAGAGCTACTATGAGATCACTAGAAAAAGCCAGCCAGAGATGAAGGATTGAGCTGAGGGCCATGGAATTACTGCTGGCTGCTAGCCTTACTCTGTTGGAGCTCAGAAGAGGGGGAGAGAGAGAGGGAGTATAGACAGTGTCCTGGTGTATTTAGGATATTTCAGATGAGAATTATATTGGGAACCACGAGACCTATTGTTTGCCTGGTCACTGGTCATGAGCAGTTGGAAGCTAGTGAAGGAGAATATTTGTTAAAATGAGCCACCATGGATGGGAGAAGAGAGAGAACACAATTTATACCATGCTATGCTCATTGGAATGAGCTATGCTCAGTGTGTGGTGCTCAACATAGAGGTACCCAGCAACCCCACAACACAGAGATCCCATTCTTTCTTTTCTGGAGTGAAAACCAAGCTACCGGAGGCTTCTTGGGTAGGCAAGCCAGCCAAACCAGCATAGTGATGCCAGCAGCCACAGCCAGCCAAACAGCAGCTGTTTCTGGTTATCTGACACTTCATGTAGCTGGGAGAGAGGGGGCCTGTTTTGTTTCCTTTCTGCTTTTTTCCCCATATTATCTTGATCTGATTTTTGTAGGCCATGGATGTGCACAGCCTATGACCCAGGACTGACAGTAGCTAGTAGAGATGGAATTTCCCCATATTGGGTGTTACTCACATTAATGAAGGCATCACACAGCGCTACAATATAAACTCGTGCTATGGTGACATGGATGTCAACAGAACAAAATTTACTGACAAGAAGATAGTTTACTTATTGACTGAATAATTATTTTGTTTACTCTCACTGATGTGGGTAGGTAGAATACTGCCCTCCCTTACTTATAAATATAATGTCAAAACAGCACTTATCCCAAACCAGCAAGTAAGAGAAGGGCTCTTAATTTCTTAAAATAGAGTTTGTATAGTTGTTAGTCTTTTCTCTCAAGTTCACTCTGGGGATATACTCTGACCCCACTTGGCTTTTTAAAGTCTGCTTTTTAAAGTATGAATGTGATTAAAAACAGCAAAGGCAATACTTTAAAAGAAGACACAATATGTATAGTAAAATACCATTGTATGGGAGATAACACACTGTCTGTTTGACTCTCCCTGTGAAATATACTGCAAGTAGTAGGACTTTGACATAAGCCATCCTGTCAAAACTACCAATACTTTGTACACAATATATAACCTGTGGAACTCTCTGTTGCTGGATATTATTGGACATTCAAACCGGTTTTATGTACAGAAGGAATGTTGGAGAGAACACCAGTGTTATCTGGTACACTTTCCACAAAATGCCAAAGAATCTATGTTCCAGAGACCAGGCAAAAGAGATCTTACTTTAACATCTAACATAATGCATGAACCTTGAACAATGCAAGACTTATAATGCTCCACTGTTGGCATAGGCTGAGAGTCTAAGAACAGAAGCTGAGACCACAGCTTGTCAGTTTCTGGTTCAGGTTTAAGTGTTTCCAGAGTCGCCTTAACCTGCATAGAAAGCATGAGTACTCTATTTTCAAATCATGCATGTCTCTTCATGCTTTTGAAAAACTCTTGCCACACATAGAATCATTAATAAGATGGTCTCATTCTGGTGACATGCAAACTACAAGTCCCACAATTCTCTGCATCTGGGGATGGTGCAGAAAGGCTTTCAGCCTGTTCACATGGAGGTAACTAGGAAACAAAGAAATAAACACACTTGCCATGAAGTGAAAGTACCTTTTTTGCAAAAGTAAAAGGAATCTTCTTTGACAGACCTGTACCAGGAAAGTTCTTCCAATGTGATAAACTCCCTTTTGAATGGGTATGCATGGAAAAGAAAAGTGATGGAAAGAAACCAGGGCTTCTGTACAGCTTATTCTTCAGAAAATGTTTAGGTAGGTAATTCAGGAGTGTTCTCTTTTCTTTGGACAATAGAAGCTATTATTAATACCAGCTCTCCAAGCTCTGGTCAAGTGAAAAATTCTCTAAGTTATATCACTAACTTTAACAGCATTTGATTAGACTAAAGTTTGAATGACTAAACAAGTTTTGAAACAATTTTGGTAAATACTGCAAATATCAGGGCAATATATTTTGAATCACTATCCTAACCACAGCTCTGTTCAGAGGTTTATACTGTTTTTCAAGTGTATAAAATCATTCTGTGCCGCTCTGGAGTGAAGCCTCTTACTTTTATTTCTTTTTATAAAGGATGAGGTCTCTAAAATCCTACAACTGTGAGCAATGTGGGAATGATTTTGTCAGCCGCACCGCCTTGAGGTATCATTTCCGAGCAAAACATCTTGGAAAAGTTCACTGTGAGAAATGTGGTAGGGAAGTTTTGAGAGAAACACTTCAGGACCATGAAGCGGTAAGGCTGTTTGAGAGCTCTGATTCTGTCTCTTTCTCACAACAGATTGTATTGATTCCCAGTCTCTGCTCTTTCTTTTGTATGTTCAGTTTGTATTTACTTTTCATTAAATAGAGACATTTACATTGAAACAGAAAGTACATCTTGTAATTGAAAAATGGCTTATACTGTATATACATAGTGAATATACATATCTGAACATCTCAGTATAGGTGAAAATCCTGTTATAGCATGTGGATAGATAAAATAACCCAACAGATTTTATCTCTAATTTCTGTGCTCAGTGCATTCCAAGTATGGTCTGTCTGTAGGTGTTTCACACCCAATCCAAAAGCAACAGCCATTTAGTTTGTTACATTATAATACAGTGCCACTCCTGCCAAGGAAACCTTGATTAGTTTTATATAAAACTATAAAGAAAATTAAAGGAACCTCTGTGGATTGTCTAAAGTCCTGTCTGACTCAGACATAGCATGGGAGAGTACATGCTCTAAATAAAATAATGGAGATATCCTATCTCCTAGAACTGGAAGGGACCATGAAAGGTCATTGAGTCCAGCCCCCTGCCTTCACTAGCAGGACCAAGTACTGATTTTGCCCCAGATCCCTAAGTGGCCCCCTCAAGGATTGAACTCACAACCCTGTATTTAGCAGGCCGATGCTCAAACCACTGAGCTATTCTTTCCTCTGGTGCTTATAGAAGCTCCCACTGCAAACAGTAAAGTACATATTTTATCAGACGACATTTCTTAGAAAATAATTCCTTTAGGTGGTTTGCTCTTAATCTCTTATTTGGACCATCAAGTTCCTATAAGTGGAAGGAAATGTGGCACTGTGCTGTGGTCCAATTGACTACTGCTTGCTGCTATGGTGGTGGCTTTATTTCACTGCTGCTATATTTACAGAAGTCACCAATGAAAAGTCCACATCCCCTGCAGATACCACATAGTTACCACTGTTCTTTCCTATTCTAAGTATAGTGTCTCAAATAATTCCTATATACATTTTATTGTAAATCATGGCAAACCTCAAGGTGGACTTCTAAAAAATGGAATTATTGGAGCGGTTGCCATTTTTTTTTATTATTATACATGCTTTATGGATGTGGCCCACCTTCTTTCCCTGTATAGTGTGCTTTAAAAATGTTGAGGTTTGTCTTGAGATGAGCTCCTGGAGGTACCTCCAATTCACTGTATTAGCCAGTCTCCTTTTTCCATATCCAACTTATTCCTATGTATGGTAACAACAAGGAGTCTGGTGGCACCTTAAAGACTAACAGATTTATTTGGGCATAAGCTTTCGTGGGTATGCATCTGAAGAAGTGAGGTTTTTACCCACGAAAGCTTATGCCCAAATAAATCTGTTAGTCTTTAAGGTGCCACCAGACTCCTTGTTGTTTTTGTAGATACAGACTAACACGGCTACCCCCTGATACTTGATCCTATGTATGGTGTGCCCCATCTTCCCTTTAACAGGCCAACCATGAAAGAATGACTGCTGAAAAAAAAGGGTGTTTCTGGGACATGCCTCCAAAGAGGGAAGCAAAATTTGTGGCCATGGAAATGTCTACCTCCTGCAGGATGTGCCCAAGGCAGTTTGGAACAATCCATAGCAGGGAACACCATGAGAAACAAGATCATCACTTCACAGCCAGCAAAAGAGGTACCACTGCTGCTCAGAACAGACAGGAAATTCTGCTAGAGAGCACTGGCCATTAGCGAGGGAGAATCAAGGGCTAAATACCATAAGTATCAAACGCTTTCACTGGTGAGATCACTCCCAAGATGATTAATTTTCGTTGGCCGTTTATCACCCTTACCCAGCAAAACTCTTCCTGAAAAAGCACTGAGTCGTGTGGGGTGCTGATTGTTCTCAACACCCACTGTAGTTGGTAGGAATTGAGGGTACGTAGCACCATGCAGGATGAGACACTCACACTGGTAATTGTAGTTACTGGTAACTAACTAGTGTGTCTGGTAAGGACTTGTGGTGAAGGTTACAATGAATCTCCTCATTTTGTAGTTATGAAATATAATACCTCCTTGCTTTGAGACTGTCTAGGTTAATTGAACTGATTAACCCCTTACAGGTAAGGGGATTCTGTACCTCTGGCCAGGAGGAATTTTATGTTACCGCATACATAAGAGTTGTTACCGTTCCCTTTATATTTATGACAGTGGGGCATTAACATTTTTGGTATAAATAAAGAGATATGGCCCAATGTTCGACCAGTAAATGAATCTACATCAGAAGCTACAGAACAAAAAGTGTATTGAAAATCGACATTCTTAGTTTGTGTTCACTGACACGACCCTGTCTTACCCAACCCTCCCTTAGCCATCAGGCTTATTATTTTAAATGTTGGAGAGAGATATGGATAAGAAATAGCTTGTGCTATTGTCCTCATCCACATTTTGTACTTCTCTGGCAATGAAGCTCACTTGGAACTCTCTTAGTGCTTGACCAGTTTGTAGACCTTCTTCACACACATGTGGAAAGTGTGTGGGTTTTTTTTTATTCAAGGCCTTTAGGAAAGGCACCCTCAGGAAAACCACCCTACAACCAAACACATTTTTTGGCATACAAGCTTCAGTTCTATTAAATAAATAACAACCACACGGTAACCAAACATAGAAGTGGAATGTGTAATTCTTACAGTAATGGGCCAGCTGCCACAGAAACAAGCTGCTGTTTGATCCAATCACTGTTTGCTGACCCAAAGGTTATAAAATCATCATCTCAGGCCATCTGAAAACCAGCTGGCCCACTAAGATGTGGGTGATAGGCATGACCATAAAACCAAAACCATGAGTCCCACAAAGAAGATTGGAGCTCCCAGCAGTCTTCACCAGTAGATATGACTATCTTTATGGCTGTCCCCTTGTTACAACAAATTAATCTTGGAGATGACTATTTCCTGCTCCAAACTCTCTCAGCCAAAGCTAGCCTGAATTTTCCTACCTGTAAAAACTACATTGCCATTAGATGCCCCTAGCACTGCTTGCTTGGCATCCCACCAAGCCAACCACTCACAAAAACCTCTCCTGTCATAGTTGAATGCCCAGGATAAAAATGTCATAACAGATGTCCAACAAATGCCCTTTGTTGATGGAATTGTCCTGGGCAAGCACATGATACTTCAGTGCTCAAAACCATCACCTCTTTCTCATTTCTCAGTCTACATTTTTTGTGAGCCTGTTTACCACAACAGCCAAGGAGACTCTTCTCCATGTCTGGGCTATGTCATTGTGTAAACAGCACCATAAGGCTCAGGAATGCACAACCGCTCTGCACACAAAACCTAACAATCCAGCTAATGTTTGTAAATAGTTTAGGGTGACTTTAACCGAACTACTAACCTGTTCCCTTCATTGATCAACCTTCATGGCTGGGAAGTGAGACGCTCTAGTCTCTATCAATTTCTGTGCCCAGGTATGTAATATATGTATTTGGTTCCTCTGTTTTGTCCTATGCCAGTGGAGTTCCGAGACTCTCTGTGGTGGAACAAATTGTTTAAAGCAAGGCTTTCCAATGCCTGAATCTGCTAAGGCTGAGAAACAAAACATTGTCCAGGACATGTGCCATGCACGACAGGTCACGTCCATGTCTTTCCATTCTAAGAAGATACTAAATAGTTCAAAGGCTAAACAGGAAAATGACAATCACATGGGCATGGCCTTATCAGTATGTTGAAAGCCCCATAAAATCAAAAGTATTAGAGTGAACCAGCAATAAATAAAAAGCTGCCTTCAGACCGCAGGCGGGGGTCATGTGATTAAAAGATGACTACTGAGCAATTCTGCAAGTCAATGAGATTGTTATTCAAACCCTCCCATGAATAGGTCAAATGACTAATCAGTCCAGACTTTCTTGGCACTACCCCCCAGTTATGAAATCTTCAAATTGTTAAAGGGCCCCGTCAGAGGTCCTGTCACTAGACCAGATCTCACTTCACCAGCTTTCTTCTCCCTTACAAATTCTGGAAGAGTAGATAATAACTTCAAATTATCTGACAGAGTCCTTTAGCCATAATGAGGCATTCTAAGGCCCCTTTTTAAAAACCCCCAACAGAATTCAACCTACCTTCTGATCTTGCAACCCTGCAATAACACCAGTAGGGAAAGCAAATTAACACGCGTGTGGGACCCTTTGTCCTTAGAGGATCGTGTTTTAGGACCTCCTGGTGGTTGGCCAACCTTCCCATTTTTTTCTTGCCCTAACCAGGAGTTGTGTCCTTCCAATAGGAACTTCTCCCACATGCCCTCACTGCATTTGGAGACTCTGTGCAAGAATCTCCATATCTGTTTTCAGCAGGTGCCTCTTCAAGAGGGCCAATAAAACTCTTTGCCTCTCCCAATGTGTTCCTAGTCTCCTGGTACTGGGAGGCTGCTGTCTGTAATCTGCTAGGGAATAGGCCTGAAGGAGATCATAAAAAGCCACAGCTCGGTGTAGTGGGTGTGGAAGAAGGTTTTAACTGTGGTATTTGGGGTAAACTGGAGAAGGGGAAGCAGATAATCCAGGAATGAAGAATTTATAGTAGTTAAGATGAGAGAGAAAAGGTGTGGGCTAGGGTTAGGGATAACTCAGTGGTTTGAGCCTTGGCCGGCTAAACCCAGGGTTGTGAGTTCAATCCTTGAGGGGGCCACTTAGAGATCTGGGGCAAAATCAGTACTTGGACCTGCTAGTGAAGGCATGGGGCTGGACTTGATGACCTTTCCTTCAAGGTCCCTTCCAGTTCTAGGAGATGGGATATCTCCATTAATTTATTATTTAGGGTTTTAGAAGTGAAGATAAAAAGGAAGGGAAAGAATTAGAGACACCATAGTGGAAATAAAATGTTGGGTTTTGAGGTATTATACTAATGATTTTTTACTTAACACTACATCATTTTTGGATCCTTGGGTGTTGAGTACTAGCTGTCTGCCACAGCTGATTAAAAGGAAGCAAGGAATTTATAGCATTTATAAGCTTCTTAACAAGTCCTTTTCAAGCAAATTAGTGATCAGACTTTAATTTTCTTTCTGTGCAGCTCAAATGGCCACTGGATTTTCACCTGATAATATCTTGGATTATAAAAATCCAGCAGAACTAAAGAGATTTGTAGAAGAAAAGCTTCGCCCCATTCCAGGCCCTGCAAGCATTGCCTGTGCAACAGATATTGAGGCAATTATTAATTTGATCAAGGAATGCTTCCCATTACCAATAGCTCGGCTAATCAAGGTAAACATTATTTCCTCTTTTTATTGTGGTTCAACAAAATAGCATTTCCTTCACTTGTCAAAGTGTTGCAGCCTGTATGTATCTGTACCACAAGGTCCTCTTGTGTCCCAAGAGTCCAGAGGGAGTGATCTCATAAACAGTGAATTTCCTTTTGGTTTAGATTCAGGTCTGACCTGTAGCATTATTTGGATCCACCATATTGTTTGAGGATTTAATAAATTATAAATTAAATAAATAAAATAAAAATCTTTTAAAAAGAGTAGCATTTAGTTTCTTGCATCTAAATATGAGTTGAGCCTATGATAATAATCTTTCCTCTAGCTGTAATTGCTCTTTTAGACCAATTATATTACAACAGGAGTACTTGTGGCACCTTAGAGACTAACCAATTTATTTGAGCATAAGCTTTCGTGGGCTACAGCCCACTTCATCGGATGCATAGAATGGAACATATAGTAAGAAGATATTTATACATACAGAGAACATGAAAAGATGGAAGTAGCCATACCAACTGTAAGAGGCTAATTAATTAAGATGAGGTATTATCAGCAGGAGAATAAACTTTTTTTAGTGTTTTTTAAACTTTTTTTAAGGCAAATTACTGGCTCATTTAGTTCTCCAGAGGTCCTAAAGTGACATCCCTAGAGACTGAATATCCTCACAGGACAGATGTAGTACAGATAATAGCCATATCAACTTCCCTGTAACACCCTATCACTGTACATCAACTTTATTCTGAAGGAACCATTTTTAGGGGTGAGAGGGCAATTTGACTTCCATGCCCATTCCATATGAAGCCTGTTTACTAAGGTGGATTTACGTTGCAGACAACTGTCTGCTAAGAACTGACTTGAGATTCCTAACTGATTATAAACACCCCTACCTGCAGTGTGGCTGTTGTATTATTGTAAGAAGGCTCTTAGTACCAAATACATGAGGATGTACTCATTAGCATGAGTAGGGGTTGCCTGGTTGGGCCCTAAGCTCTTACTACTGCATCAAGCAGAATTCTAGATGTGTATTGATAGATATGCTCTAGTTTTAAAATGTATTTAACAAAATCAAGAGAGTGCATTTGGCACCCAACCCTGAGATGCGCTTTTATCAGGTCGAGAATCTGTTAGTTACTAAAAAGTACTTCTGCATTAGAAAATAAACAGTATTTTTTTACCAAATTTCAAAAAAGGCTCTCACTGCCTTTCTCCTCCGTCCTCCCCCTTCCCCCCCCACATGGTTGACTACAATTTGAATACTGGCATAAACTGGGTTAAACCATATTCGACACCCAGTGAAGAAAACTTGATTTGCCCTAGTGATTTGGGTGTTGAACCCAATTCCATTCCTATAGTAGATACCATCACCGATACTGTGAATCCTGTTACTAATATAAGGCCTGATCCAAAGTCCATTTGAAAGACCCAGGGATCAGGCCCATCTTGCATCTCACCTTAGTAACATGTAAACTATAAATTACTTGCAAGTATGTAGACAAGACAGTCTAAGAAATTACAGAAGGCATCTAAAGCCTGCTTTACCAACATTGCAAAAATGTCCTGTTTACAGAAAAAAATCAAGTGCTAATCATCTTTCTGGCATATCTTGCATAACAGGGAGGCTCATATATAAAAGGAACTGATACACAAGGCTGGTCTGATGTTGATATAGTGCTATTTAGTGAAGCCTTTGAAAATCTAGAAGACTGCAAAAAGAAACTGCCAGAAGTTATAGATGATCTTGGGAAAAGACTGAAGGAATCTTCATGGGCCAGCAGGTTTGGATCATGATGGTTGTGTGTATTTTCTATGTTTAGTTATTATTAGGGCTTTTACTTGCTCCAGATGTTACACAGGCATCTCAGATGTGATTCCCCCCCCTAGACTGCCTACTTCACAGAGCACAGCAAAATCGGAAAATAAAATGGATAAAATCAAACTAGAAAACTAGACACAAAATGGTGTGCGTCCCAATACAAACATAGGTAAAATTCCCATTAGAGATTTATAAGATAGTTCACACCATCTTTTCAAGCCTTAATGATTCATCATTTTCTCCCACTTTGCACCTTCACCCTCTAGCTTCTCTAGCATGAATGAAAGCAACTGAATGGGACTCCATACAGACTGTTCATCTATAATGTGAAATACTGTGCTCCTCCCTCATCTCAGTGAACTTGTCTAGAGACTAAACATGCTCTCTCCACAGTGCAAACAAATACTACGTATCTTTCTGCTTTGACTAATCATGACACCTGGTGATCCATGGTGTGTGTGTGCGTGTGTGTGGGATACGTGGAGGCAGCAGACCTGGTTTTCAGGGGACTCTTGTGTCTGCTGCGCAGGCACAGGGTGTATTGGATACTCCCAGGCTGTGGGATTTTGAGGTTGTGGAAAGAGATGCGGCGATATCGCCAGTGATGAATTGTTTTATCATGAAAGCCAAAGAGTGTCCCCTAAATATTTTTTCTCTAGTGGAAGTCCCATCCAACCCAAAATGCACATGGGTTTTGTTTCCCATAAGAAGCCTCATAAAACACATTTGGGATCCCGTTTTAGAGCAACCTGTTTTTATATTTAATTTTAATCCAACCCAGTGTCACTCCAGAAACTGCATATAAATACTCCTTCTGGAGAGGAGGCACTGAGATTGTGGTGGGACAAGTTAGAGGGGAGAATTGAGGTCTGAGTTAGGGAGGACTGGGTGACAGGGGATGAGCAATAAAATATAGAGGTTTTTTAACTCTAGGTCAGTGGTTTGAATCCATCCCAAACTGAAGGGACCTGAAGTTGTTACCATGGCTGTGGGCAACCTATGTGAAATATGTTTCGTGGTCCCTGTCCAGATTCCAGTGGAGAGGTGCTCACATCCCAAGAATGACCATGACAATAGAGAGTAATTGGCATCTTTATTGGCAGTCTTGAATGAGAGGCCAAGGCTTGAATAGCTATGGAAACAGGCCATTTTGCCTACAGAGGCAGCCCCTCCAGTTCTGAGCTGAGGCACACTGGTGAGCAAAGTGTAGAAGCTTGCACCGCTACTGCCTGTGTTGTACCTGTTCAGTGAACGAAAGGATGTCTGGTGTCCCTGGGGTCTGTAATCTGGTATCTTTCTTCATGCTTGAAGTTTTAGAGACAGTCTACTATGTCAGTGTGGGCAGCCACAAAGTATGACACACGTTGTTGAGAACTGCAAAATGACTCAACTTCCTGGAGGTCTTCGTACCTTGAACATTGTTAATTAAAAAAAACTGTGGCTAGGCTTGACCGGATTGCATACACCAAATGATAGTTTCATACTTCATGAGCATTAATTTGTATACACTCAATATGCGTTTATATAAATAAACATATGCCATATGCCTTTTAAGTGGAAATTCATTTTAAAGAATAGAGAAGCTATTAAGACACATCTTGTAAGGTCTTAAAAATATCTCCAGTTTGCATTGCTAGGTGTAGTGAATATGTATTTTGTGTGCGTGTATCTCTTACTGTGAATGGCAGTGTTTGTTCAGTATCATTCATTTTCATAGCCCTTCAGTTGTCCTTTCTAGCTGTGAATAAGTCTCCACTGGGAGTGCTTTGCTATACCGGTACATTGCACTTGCGAAATGTTCCTAGTGTGGATGCAGCTTATAGTGGAATACTGCACTTTTGCCAACATAGCATTTTCCAGCCTTCCCCAAATGAAGTAAGCTATTTGGGCAAAAGCTTTTGCTGGCACAGCTGTGTCAGTCAGGGATCACACCTCTTCACACCCTGACTGGCATAGCTATGTGCACAGAAGTTTGTACCATAGACTTGGCCTAGGTTTCAGTAGACTCACAGACAAATTTCTGCTTGTTGGTCCCACTTGAAAAAAGTTGTAATTGGACAGAAGCATTTCAGCTTTATCAAAACAAAATGTTTTGATTGATCTGGAATTAGATTTTTTTATTTCATTTTATTTGGAATTTTGATTCATAGGAAATTTCAATGTTTGTTTGTTTTATTTAATTAATTAATTGATTGATTGTTCCATTCTGTAATGGCAAATATCTTGAAATCACAAAACTCCCCTGAAATGAAAAATCCAATTCCTGGATAGCTCTACTTAATATATATTACTTTATATGTTCAAACCACAGCTCCGACTGACTTCAGCTATACCTGGGAGTGATCAGCACTTCTGGAAATCAAACATTGGGGTCTCAAGTCAAGCACTCAGAAAAGGAGGAATAGACAATTTGTGATCACCTGTGAAAAGCTGAATTTAAGTGACTTGCCTAGCAATACATAAGGACTCTGGGGCAGAGACAGGGATAGAATGCAGTTCTCCAGGGCAGAATTCAACTTTACCCATGAGACCCTCTTCTCATTTTTTGTAGTCCCCTGCCTTGTTCACTAGACAGTATCCAACTTCTGTAACAAATGAGGCAGAGATCCTACAGACAATCTCCTTCACTACACAACTCTGATCCATCCCCAACACAGGTCCATTTTGTGCATGGATTGATGCAGGGATCTTGTGGAAAATTAGTATATGATAATGTAATTAAAGACTGTATCATACGGCATACTCTCAGGGGGAGCACAGGCAACCTTAATTCTGGCATTTCCTAACTTTGCACTGCTTGACTTTGCAATTGAATAATGTTCTTTTATCATAGTTTTTGTGTAAAATTACTTAGCATTTTTTTCTTCAGTTTTCTTTTTAAAAACTTTTTAATGTGGCATCTTATTGACATCAGCAGGTTTGGAACATTTAAGTTAACCACACCAGACCTCTGCCACTTTAACAGAGTAAATGGTAGCAGTAGTAGGTTAATAGCCTCTGTGTGGACTAGTACGAGAGGAGGCTGGGACACACACATTTCGCCAGTGAATTTCACAGATATTTGCTGACCGCAAAGGAGTGGTGAGACTCAGGAAACTTGGGTTCCATTGTTCTCTAATAGTCACAGGAGAGGGGATTGTTCTCTAATAGTCAGACTGTCTGTTCTTCCCCAAAACTTAACCCCTTCTGGCTTGCCCCTTCCAACCTGTTCATGTCCCAGTTCTGTCTCTTTCCTACCACTGTCTCCTCATCTAGGGTTAGGGTGACCAGATGTCCTGATTTTATAGGGACAGTCCCGATTTTGGGGTCTTTTTCTTATATAGGCTCCTATTACCCCCAGTCCCTGTCCCAATTTTTCACACTTGCTGTCTGGTCACCCTATCTAGGGTGACCAGACAGCAAATGTGAAAAATCGGGATGGGGGTGGGGGGATAATAGGAGCCTATATAAGAAAAAGACCCCAAAATCAGGACTGTCCCTATAAAATTGGGACATCTGGTCACCCATCCTCATCTCAGTCCTGTTCCTACTTTCCTGACCTACCCAGTCTCCTTTCCTCAGGCTTCTCATCCCAGTCTCTTTGCTCCATCTTCAGGCCCCTGATCTGAGTCCCAGTCTCTTTGTCCAGTCAGTCCCAGTTCCCACCTCCCAGCTCCTCATCTGATCTGTCTCTCACCTCCCCACCAGCCTCCAGTGATTTCACACACACAGTCTGTCTGTCCTCAGGATCTTCATTCATTCTGTTTCCCTCTTTATACCTCACTGTTTCCCTGGCTCCTTGTTCCAATCTCTTCCCTCCTCAGCTGATCCCGGTTCTACCCCTTGGTTACTTGTCAGATCTGTCTCCCCTCCTCTTTACCCAACCAGTTCCTGTCCCTCCCAATTCCCAGTAACAGTTTCCCTTTTCTTTCCCCACTCCAGTCCCATCCTCACCAGGATCCTTGTCCCAGTCTAGTTGTATCCCTGCCCCCCAATCTGCCTTTTATCCCCACAGCATTAGAGTCAGATGGTTTCCTCCTCAACACTATGTGGTGCCAGCAAGAGGGTCATTAAGAGCACAGGGGAGACAGGCTTCCTGCTCTCAATTCTGGGCCCATCTCCATCCTGATCCATGCTGGTTGGGAGCTATGATTGCAAAGAAAGTCCCAGTGAGATCATGTAGTCCTGGGCTGGAGCATACTCAGCCGCTTTGTAGAGATGGCACGTGCACAGTGTGGTCAGCACTAGGAACTGTGAAAGGCTGCAGAAGTCTCAGTGAGGATGGAAACTTCAGAAATTTTAGCTGCTAAACTTTAGCAAGAATTTACTGAGCATGTGCAAATGGAGATTTTTTTTCAAAGGTGTATAACTTGGGCAAATTTGAGCAGATTTTCTCAGGAACAGCAAAAGGCACATCTCTGGCACACAGGTCACCTCTGCCAAATTTGAATTCCCTGTTTTAAAAGCACGGGGGAGCTAGAAAAAAATCACCAGATTATTTTTTAATATTGCAGAACATATTTTCCCTGTCCTTGTTCTTGGAAATGGCTGAACCATTTTGGCTGAAACTTTCCAAAAAGATTCAGCCTGAGGGAGACAACTGGCATGCAAAATTTCAGCCTAAACTATTATCATTTGGCAAAGTTATAAGTAACTGGAAACAGAGTCTTCTACTGGGAAGTGTCGGACAAACCTCATAACAGGCCCAGCTACCAGCCTCATCTGAATGTTTGTGTATATTAATGCAGAAGTTAGGGATTCTACAGCCACACTTACTCTGCAACATTGCACATATATCTAACAACATAAACCAATAATATAAAGGAACACAGGAATAAAAAGACCATGGTCCTTTTTCAGCTTAAGTCCTATTGAAGTCCATGTTAGGTCAGACTAGAATGATATAATGGTGTCTTCTGACCTAAAAATCTATGAGTCTATGAAAATCTTGTGCTTAAAGTTAAGCATGTGCTTAAGTGCTTTGTTGAATTAGGGCTATATGATTTTTATTCCTATTTTCCTCCTGTTACTGGTTTATGTTGTTATCTGGAAAAAGGGGTAAAGAGTGAGGTGGCAAAATTTGCAGATGATACAAAACTACTCAAGATAGTTAAGTCCCAAGCAGACTGCGAAGAGCTAAAAAAGATCTCACAAAACTGGATGACTGGACAACAAAATGGCAAATGAAATTCAATGTTGATAAATGCAAAGTAATGCACATTGGAAAACAGAATCCCAATTATACATATAAAATGATGGGGTCTAAATTAGCTGTTACCACTCAAGAAAGAGATCTTGGAGTCATTGTGGATCGTTTTCTGAAAACATCCACTCAATGTACAGCGGCAGTCAAAAAAGCAAACAGAATATTGGGAATCATTAAGGAAGGGATAGTTAATAAGACCGAAAATATCATATTGCATCTATATAAATCCATGGTGCGCCCACATCTTGAATACTGCATGCAGATGTGGTTGCCCCATCTCAAAAAAGATCTATTGGAATTGGAAAAGATTCAGGAAAGGGTAACAAAAATGACTAGGGGTGTGCAACGGCTTCCATATGAGGAGAGATTAATAAGCCTGAGACTTTTCAGCTTGGAAAAGAGAGGACTAAGAGGGATATGATAGAAGTCTATAAAATCATGATTGGTGTGGAGAGAGTAAATAAGAGGTGTTATTTACTCCTTCTCATAACACAAGAACTAGGGATCACCAAATGAAATTAATAAGAAGCAGGTTTAAAACAAACAAAAGGAAGTATTTCTTCACACAACGCACAGTCAACCTGTGAAACTGTTTGCCGGAGGATGTAGTAAAGGCCAAGACTATAACAGAGTTCAAAAAAGAACTAGATAAATTCATGGAGGATAGGATCCATCAATGTCTATTAGCCGGGATGGGCAGGGATGGTGTCCCTAGCCTCTGTTTGCCAGAAGCTGGGAATGGGCGACAGGGGATGGATCACTTGATGATTATCTGTTCTGTTCATTCCCTCTGGGGCACTTGGCATTGGCCACTATCGGAAGACAGGATAATGGGCTAGATGGACCTTTTGGTCTGACCCAGAATGGCTGTTCTTATGTCCTTATGTTGTCCAGTATGCAGGAAGTGCAATATTATAGAAACTTTTTAACTTTTGGGTTTCCTTGTTTCTTCTGTTTGCTTGATTTTTTTTTTTTCAGCCTGAACCATTAACTATAACCAGTGCTCAGATTACAAGGTTGTACTCTTATGCAATGTTGTTGTAGCCATGTCACTCCCAGGATATGAGAGTGTGAAGGTGGATGAGGTAACATATTTTATTGGATCGACTTCTGTTGGTGAGAGAGACAAGCTTTTGAGCTTTCACACAGCTCTTCTTCAGGCCTGGAAAACTTAGGTCATGTTTACACCCACTGATGTCGGCAAAATTTAAGTCACTCAGGGGTATAAAAAAAGCACTATGTTGGTGGGAGAGCTTCTCCCGCCGACATAGCTACCACCACTCTTTGGGGGTGGTTTAACTGTCGATGGGAGAGCTCTCACTTGTCAGCATAGTGTGGCTACACAAGAGATCTTACGGCGGTGCAGCTACAGCGGTATGGCTGTGCCGCTGTAAGCTTTGTAGTGTAAACATATAGGGCTAGTCTACACTGGCAACGTTAAAGCACTGCCGTGGCAGCGCGTTTACGTGGCTTGTGTGGTCATGGGAGAGAGCTCTCCCAGTGCTCTTAAAATACCATCTCCACGAGGGGTGTAGCTACCAGCACTGGGAGCGCAGCTCCCAGCGCTGGTGCACTGTCTACACTGGCGCTTTACAGCACTGTAACTTGCTGCGCTCTGGGGGGTGTTTTTTCACACCCCTGAGTGAGAAAGTTGCAGCACTGTAAAGTTGCAGTGTAGACAAGCCCATAGCCTCAGAGTGTCACAGCTAAATACAAGATGGAACAGATCATTTAGCATAAGTAGTTCACATTGAATGGTCCCTTGAAATATGTGTTAAGTGGCCTATGACTCATCCAGTCATAAGGAGGAAAGGAAGGGCGGGGGTGGGAGGCAGTTGTTAGTGTGTTACAGATTGTTGTAATAAACCATAATCCAGTGTCTCCGCCAGACACTAAAAATCATGGACTGAATAAAGTTATGAATTCAAGCTCCCAGGCTCACATTTTGAAAGTGTTGTGCAGGTTTCCTTTGAGGATGAGGACTAAGTCCAATATGGAGTGATCCCTTTGTGGAAAGTGTTCACTCACAGGTAATATGGTGTTTTTGTCTGATATCATTTTCCTGTGAGATTTCATTCGAGAGTGTAGTGATTGATTTCACCCACATAGTTGCTATTGGGATATTTAGTGCACTGGATGAGGTACACCACATGTGTAGGACCTTTGGAACTTGAAAGGTCTGTTGGGGAAGGGGTGTTGATCATTGTAGCAGTGGAGATGTGTGCAGATTTTGCATCTGTTCTGGCAGAGTCTGGTGCCACTTTGAGTTGGAGTGTCCCGGTCTGTGGGGATCTTGCTTCTGATGATGAGCTTGGAGAGGCTTCTGGGTTGTTTGAAGGTGAGAAGTGGGGGGGAGGGTCAGGAAAGAATTCTTTCAAGATGGGGTCCCCATAGAGTATGGGTTGTAGTTGTTTGATGATATCCCATGTAGGTTCCAGTGTGGGGTGTTAGGTGGCAACTAAGGGCATGCAGTCAGAGGAGGTTTTATTTCTGTATTGAATCAGGTTCTTTCAGGGTATTTGGATGGCCCATTCTGTGATGCGATCTACTTCCCTGGTGGAGTGTCCTTGTATGGTGAAGGTGGTTTTGAGTGTGTTAAGATGTATATCCCGGTATTTCTCCTCCGAGTATATTCTGTGGTATCTGAGCAGCTGGCAGTAGAGAACAGATTTCTTGGCTTGATTACTGGATCTATGAGGTAGGTGTGATGATCTCTGGATTCTTTTGTATGTAGCTGTCTGTAGGGTTCCATTGTTGAAGTTGATCATGGTGTCCAGGAAGTGGATACTGGTATAGGAGTGTTCCAGAGGGAGTTTAATGGACTGGTGGTGTACTCTGTTTTCTTTGTATTTCCTCTTATTTTTACCACCCAGCAGCGAAAAGCAAGAATATGACAAAGCCACTTAGACTACTGGCTAGTTTGAGAAATTAACCTTCATTTCTTATTAATGTGAGGTTTTGCATTTTAGACACGTCAGTAAATGTATTGCTATGAGATGTTTATAATTTACCAGCTTTATAAAAGAAATATGAAGGGCCAGACTGGCCACTGGTGTAAACAAGCATGAGTTTGCTGACTTCAGTAGTGTTTATTCCATTTACAGTGGTGGTTAATTTGGCCCTGAGACTTCCGTGTGGCCTTTTGCAAATAGCGTACAGACTGATATAGTCTTATTTCTGAGAAAGGAGACTTTCCAGCCACCTTCCTCCATCCTTACTACACAGTAGGAAGATTGGAAACCGTTGAACCCTTCCTTCCCCCAGTATTACTGTTCAGTAATATTTTTTAACTAAGGTTTGTTTTAGGATAATGATGGAGAAAAGGACCCAGTCATCCTTACGGTTTCATTTCAAATGCTATAAGAATCACCACGGTCACTCGTTTGATATCATGCCTTGCTATGACATACTGGGGCCTGCGCCATCAACAGGTAGGGGATTGTTTTCCTTTGGGGAGAAACTTTCTTTATCAGGGAATGATCACTCGTGACCATTTATACCCATCATATAGCTGTATAAATTGCATAATGTTCCAGCTATGCCTTGTGAATCCAGGCTATAAATCTATTTTAGTTTTGATGGTTATAGTATTCTCAGTAGATTATAATCTGTTATAGAATTTTTGGGGAAATGGCACTTTTGCTTCACTACTTGCTAATGACTGTGATGCTTTTAAACTCCAAGCACCTTCCCATACATACATACATACACAAACACACGCTCTCTCTCTCTATGCAGGAACCATCAAACACCTATAAACTAGGTATTCCGATGCAATGTCTAATTTGTGCAATTCTTACTGTACTTAGTTAATAGATTCCATTCCATAGTGTATTTCTAGGTATACTTCATGTCTCTTCTTAACAACTTTAGATGTATGAGAATCATTGGATCTTCATTTGGCATAAAGGGCTTGATTTTTCAAAAATGACATCTCCATTGCGGGTATGTTTACACTACAGTTTGGAGGTGTGAGCTAGCTTACTAATAATAGGAATGAAGCTGCAACAGCACAAGCTTGCCATTCAGCATCCTGGGTGGGCTTGTGATCTGGTCCCATTTTTCTGCCACCTGTGTGCTATGGCTTCTCTGCTATTTTTAATGAGCTAGTTTGAACAATCACACCTCCAACTGGAGTGTACACACATCCTGTGTGTGCAATATCTGCAGTTGCACTCATAAATCCGGTATGTATATAGGTCGCTGATTCAGAGCGATCTGGATTGCTTGGTAAACTGTGTGCAGACAAACAATATGTGTTTTCATATGACCAAATGTAAATGTAAACATCTGGTAACAAAGACTGTAGGCCAAACTTATAGAAAGGGGGACTCTATCCCTAGAAGCAGTGACTCTGAAAAAGATTTGGGGGTGGGGGCAGATAATTGGCTGAACACGAGTTCCCAGTTTTATGCTGTTGCCAAAAGAGTTAATGCTATCCTGAAATGCATAAACAGGGGAATCTTGCATAGGAATAGAGAAGTTATTTTACCACTATATTTAGCACTGGTGTGACTGCTGCTGGAATACTGCATCCAGTTCTGGTGCCCACAATTCAAGAAGGATGTTGATAAATTGGAGACAGTTCAGAGAAGAGCACGAGAATGATTAAAGGATTGGAAAGCATGCCTTAAAGTGACAGACTCAGAGCTCAATTTATTTAGCTCAATAAAGGGTCAGTTAAGGGGTGACTTGATTACAGTCTGTAAGTATCTACATGGAGAACAAATATTTAGTAATGGGCTCTTCAGTCTAGCAGAAAAAGGTGTAACATAGTCCAATGGCTGGAAGTTGAAGCTAGACAAATTCAGACTGGAAATAAGGTGTAAATTTTAACAATCAGAGTAATTAACTATTGGAACAATTTACCAAGGGTCGTGGTGGAATTTCCATCACTGTCCATTTCTGAATCAAGATTGGATGTTTTTCTAAGAGAGATGCACTAGGAATTATTTTGGGGAAGTTCTGTGGCCTGCGTTGTACAGAAAGTCAAATTAGAAGATCACAATATTCCCTTCTGGCCTGGGAATCTCTGAATTTATGAAAAACATGCAAATAGATAATTAGTCACAACTAACTGTTCACATAGTTGATGTTCATGCAGTCCGAATAACTGTGTGTGCATCATGCAAAATTTTTTGTACATTCAATAACGTGTATTTAAAAAAATTTGGCCCCAATTTTTAACTTTAAAAAATCATGATTATAATTTTCCTTTTTCCACACAGATTGTGGAACAAACTAAAATGGGGATGCCTAAATCAGGAACTTTCCTAGTAGGGGAGCATTATTTTAATCATGTGTGTGTTCATGTATGCATATGCAGAATGTATAACAGCTATCAACCTGAAAATAAATAACTATAGGGAGAGATGTGGGGAGAGGGAGAGGAAAAAAACCCACACAAACCTAGCAGTTTTTTGGATAATCTCTTGCATAGGCGATTAAATCTGTTTGTTAAACATAATATTCTCCTAATAACATTACTGGATCTTGCATGTTTTTGTATGCCACCAAACTTGGAATGAATTTAGTCTGGATATAAAGTGGACTTGTTAATATTATGGACTTGTGCGATATTTAACAGGATTTTATAGCTGTTATGAAGCCTATTTAAAACAAAAAAGTAAAATATTAGGGAATGCAGTCTTATCCTTTTCTTGGTGTTAACAGGTTTAAAACAGAGCTTTTACCACAAGATCTATCTCTGTAATGACACTGATGAAATCCAGCTGTACTCAATGTCCCTGCTGCAGTACCAGGTTGAGTTTATCAAGGCATCTACCATGAAGGTGAAGGACCTGATTCGTTTGGTTAAGCACTGGTTCAGGACTTCCTTTGCTAAACCAACAGCACAAAATAAGTATGTAACTAACATTTGAGCCTCTTTTCCTTTTAACATCCTGATGTTTTTGAAGAATGAACAACAGTGAGTACTGTATAATGGATTTTACATAATGTGTGTATTATGCTTCTCCACTACATCTTAATGGCTGTTTTATAACTGAACTAGAATGTGATCCAATTAGATGGTGCCCTCGAGCAAGAAGGGATGGGGGAATGGAGAGGAAAAGAAAATACTGCACAGCTGTGCTAGTGCTATTAATATATTGGCTTGGCATTCTCTTTTTCCAATTAAAGTGACTCACTGTTGATTGGGATAAAGGACCCTCCACCTGTAAGGCTGACAAGACAGTTTCTGCAAATGCATGGCTCGCTGGACTTTTCAAACCTTTCCAAACCAAACAGAGTAGAAATCTGGCACACACTGTTAAAAAGGTGTGAAGCAAATCAGCTGAATAAACAGAGCCTTTTACAATAAGTAACTTCTGCTTATTTATTAATTCTGAATTACTGTTCTGAAAAATTAACCTAGTATGTAGGTGGAATGTACATTCTGGAGAGTAAAGTGAAAGAAGAATGGTTTTGTAGAGAACACACTGGATCGGAACTCTGTTCAATTTTCAGTTCTGCTTTAGTCTTCCTGTGTGACCTTGGGCGAGTCAGTTAATCTTTCTGTGCTTCAGTTCCTACCTATGAAATAGGGCTATAACAATAATACTTCCTTAGGTTACTGATTCCAGCTCTTTCCTCTTTAGCTGTTATCAGATGAGCCAGATTCACTTCAGGATTTGCACCAGAAAAACAGCGCCAGCAGCAAAAATTCCACTAAGAGGGAGGAGGCTACAATGGCCCTGCAGCCATTCTACTTTTTGCACAAAAAATGGCCAGCGCTGCCCATAGTCGTAGTGTGACTTGGGGTGATTTGGTGTGTTTCCCTATTAGCCTCCTCTGGCAGGGCTCTGATGAAGTCCCCAGTGGAAACTAAAGTTTCCTTTTCCAAGGGAACTAAATATGCTTTCCCTCTCTGCCAATTGCAGTAGTTCTTTCTGGTGCAGGAAGGGTATTTAGCATTTTCCTGCAGTACTGGAGGTGCATCTGGTTTCAAGTGGTGCTGAGGGTAAGTTTTGTATGCTGAATAAAGCTGATGTGTAAGTGAAGGATTCTGACAGGTTTCAGAGTAGCAGCCGTGTTAGTCTGTAGCCGCAAAAAGAACAGAAGTACTTGTGGCACCTTAGAGACTAACAAATTTATTTGAGCATAAGCTTTCGTGGGCCCACTTCTTCGGATGCAGAGAATGGAACATATAGTGAGGAGATATATATACATACAGAGAATAAAATTAATTAATTAATTTGCCTCCGAGTTGGGCAACTCTCACCTTTTCATGTTCTCTGTAGTGAAGTGGGTCCAAGCCCTGGGTTAGTATAATTTGCATGTAGTCAGAAGTGGAGATAAGCTTGATCCTGAATTCGAACCCTGGTCTTAAATTGCAGGGCAGTCATACCCTTAAATTATACCAAGACTCCTTGGGTATGTCTACATTGCAATAAAAGCCTGCTGTGGGGCTGAGCAGTGTAGATGTTCGGGATCAGGCTGGTGCCTGGGCTTTTGTACCCTCCTCCGTTATGGGATCCCAGAGCCTGAGCGCCAGCCTGAGCTTGTCTGCACTCCAATTGTATAGCATCATAGCCTGAGCCCTGTGAGCCTGAGTCAGCTGACGTGGGCCAGCTGCAAGTGGTTTATTGCAGTGCAGATATTCCCTCTGAGCCTAATTTTTGCACCACTGAAGTCAAATGGGAGTTTTGCCCTCTACTTCAATAGGAGCAGAATCGAGGCCTTAAACTGAAGCCATCTCACTTTTGGTGGGGTATGATTTGTCTCTTTTCTTCACCCAATGCTACAATGTAATCAGAGGCATTTGTGATGGTCATAAATGGTTCCAATTCTTCCTTTGGCATCATGAGCTTATTCTTTCAGCTATTGGGCCATAGAGCTAGTGATATGGCTTGTGACTTCTGGCATCCATGGCTCAGCTTGCACAGCAGAACATCTGGCATATTCTTGATGCATTCTGTACCTGATCTGGACACATTTGTAATTTAACCACAAAGCTGCTCTCTCCTTTTTACTGATCAATTTTCTTTATTATACAGAATAAAATAAACTTTTCAGTGCCCCCATTGAAGGCCCTGACTGGGGACAACAGCATAATGTTTGCAATGGATAACAAACAGCATGAAAGTACAAAGCTGACTTTTGCTGCTTGTTAGTGTTTGTTTTTACTTGCATTTTGTTTGTAAGAGTGTCCTGTGTAGACTTTGTGATGTGCTAAGTCTGTGTTCGGTGTATTTAGGTTTCGCAGGCTTCCTTCTTCCTATGCTATAGAGCTCATCACAATCTTCATCTGGCAGCTGGCAGGGAAGCCAGTCTTTTTCAGCCTGATTCAGGGAATGAGAGCTATCCTGAAGCTTCTGGTTAGATACCCAGAAATATGCATTGTTTGGCACAAACACTACAGCCCAAACTCTATGATTTTCAAAAAGGTGTTCCAGAAGCAAACCAGGTAACTATATGACAAAATATCTTCTGTCATCTTAATGTAAATATACCACCAGACAGGCATAGCTGCAGCAGCTGAATTCTGCTTCTGTCCTCAGTGGTTCATGGGGAAAAGGAGACCCCATAACTCATGGGAGGCAATGCAACTTTTCATTAAGAGATTAAAGAATGTTAGTAAAGAGACACACAATGACTCCATAGTTTGTATCAAAACCTATTTACTGAGGGGCACTCCCTTTCCTATTCTAGCTAGAGACGGTACACAGGAAGTGAAATTTACCCCAGTGCATATCGCCCGCACAAGGGGCTAAACATTAAAGGGCAAATCTTCTGTAACTAGTTGATGGGCAGATGCATGAAGGAAGAAAAATGCTTCCATCTGCCCCACAGGCTATGTTGCATGAGGTGTTCCACTGCTCCAATTGTCAGGAGAAGGGTTCCTTCTGGAAGACCTCCAAAGACATAAGTAGGCTGGAAAGGATTCTGTTTTTATCAGTAAATGTTAGTGTCAATTTCACTGTACACACACAAACCGACAAAAAAATTTCCACTAATGATAATCAAAAATTAGATAGACAAAGAACATGCTGCTTGAGAACTTTTTAGAGTTTGATTTAAGAATATTTACCTTGTATGTTTTGACATATGAAGTTTAACTGTTAAAACACAAATTGTCAACTTCACAACTTTTTGAATTTCATGGTCTACTGTCATTAAATAATTGTCTGAACTCCTCCCCATAATTTCATCAAACTATGAAATTTAAATTGATGATAATCTACATAAATGGTTAAACAAACATAGATTATCTGTCAAAATTATATACAACATTGAATTCTGCCAGGCCTATGTATAAGACAGGGCATTACTGTGATATCTAGAAAATGTGTTCCAAATTATGGAACTTACGAATGCTATTGTCAATTTCTGGCAAGTTAGCAGAGATCCAGAGTCCTGCTAGACTGAAGCTGCTTTTTGTTTTTACTTACTGTATGTGCAGCACCTAGCGCAATAGGGTCCTGGTCCATGACTGGGGCTCCTAGGTGCTACCATAACACAAATAAATAGTAGTAGTAATAGCAAAAAACAAAACAAAAAAACCCTAGGAAATTCCATGCAAAAAATGTATTAAGAGAACGTGGAGATTCCATGATTAAATAAGTAAATCAGGAAATGACACAGTTTAAGATTTCATTGTTCTGAGATTGGACAGCTCCAGGGCATCCTGCTTAGGGCTTCTAAATGCTCAGGCAACAAATAATTATGTGCTGCTTGCATGTATGTTAATCTTTAATTACTTGATTACATAACCTCAATTTAATATATGTTATAGAATACATTTTTATACAGCCTTACATATATATGTTGTGTAGCATCTTAATGTAGTTTTAAATTTTATACTTGCACTAACAGTACTGCCATATGATACCATCTCTCTGGATTGACTTCATAAGACTTTTTTTATATGTTGCGTTCTCTTCTCTAAGATATGTACTTTAATAGTTTTGTTAGCACCCATATGTATGTTCCTTTCAACCAATATTACAGCCTCAAAGGGTTAACTCCAGCCAGAGCTCTCCACCTAGGAGGGCCAGAAAGCAGACAATGGCTCCAGATAAACCTTATTGTCTGGTGCTCAGAAACAAGAGGGGCCAATTCCTTTGAAGTCTCATGTCTGCTGGGCTCTGGCTAGTATGGCCAATGGTAGGAGGGGGGAAGATTCTGGTGGGAAAGCTGGGACAAAGAGCTTGGATCCTAATAAAACCAGCCCCTGATAACTAGGAGGAAAGACTGAGGACATATCTTCACTGCACAGTTAACTGGGGCTCTTACACAGGTGTCAGCCCAACTGTCACTCCCCACCATTTACACAGAAACTTTTTGACCCAAGACAGGAGGTGCTTTAAACCCAGGCTAGCTTACATGGCTGGGGGTATAGGTAAGAATCCAGGCTCCGATTTAACTCAGCCTGGAACCCACTCACTTTGCAGTGAGGATGCAGGCAAAAATCTCTCAAGTACCATTCCTCCAATGCCCTTCCCTCATTTCCCTCTGAAGAATGGACAAGTTTTCCTGCATGAATGTCTCAAGACAAAACACTGAGGACACAGAGTAAGGTGGGTAGGACTTTGTTGTGAAGTTGCTTCAGAGAAGGAGGAGTAAGAGAGAAGTGGTACAAGTCCCTGTTAAGGACAATAATACAGTAGTGATAGACTATATAAAGCAAAACATATCTGTCTACTTTCAAGCACTATATATGTCTTGACTTGCTGACATTTTTGAAACATCAGCTTTTTTAATCTTATTACAAAGTGCTGCTTTCCAATGCTATTGGACTAGCTTTTGGTTGGTTACCTACTTACATCAGAGCTACAGTTGGGTCTTAGTAAATTGCTAGATCTCACCTCTTGGTATTTATGTTCACATTGATTCTTATTTTTCTCTCAGGCCATTTGTTTTGGATCCTGCAAACCCAACATTTAACGTGTGTGAGAACAGCAACGCTTGGGATGAAGTGGCTCATGTGGCGAGACGGAGCCTCCTTAAGCCTCTTTTTAATGGTGTGCAAGCGAAAGAGCCCTGGCTTTTTACAAACGGCTGGTAAAAACGAGAGAAAGCGTTAGCCTGGTTGCAGTCCTGTCAAATAGGTTTGCCAAGGCATATAACACTAGTCTGCCAATAGGAATATTCCAATATAAAGAAATGTAAATGAAGAATGGTGGGGTGTTTTTTGTTCTCTCTCTAATCTTTTTAACAAACAATTCTTTGTCATTACTTCTGAACGAACAAGACAATCCATTCTAGTCAGGGGATTAAATCGTCCGCTAAATTTTTATCCCTGTGTGAGGGACGAAGCTGAAAGATATGCTTCCTTATGTTTGTAAAGAGTTCAAGCACTAGAGCAAAGAGGGCAACTTTTCACAGCTCCTACAACTTCCTTCCTTCCCAGCTCACTAGGGCAGCACTGGAATTCCATAAAACATCTGAGCATTGTTTATTTAAAAAAGGCCCCTGGAAAGAACTCACTGGTTACACAGTAAGATGACTATAGTTCCATAACATCTGGCAAATCACTAGGTTGCAATAGATAAACGCTGGAAGGCTCTACACTAGGCTGTCTCTCAATACATCGTTTATTTCCAGAAGTTATGGCCGATCACACATCTTCTGAGGGTAAGACGAAGGGAAGGTTGGAAATATAATGAAGAGTAGAGAGAAATTATGTATCCAGACTCTACCCATTGTATGGGGTACTAACCATTTTAGTTCGTAAAGACAGACTATTTTGTATACAGTTTCAACATCAGTAATTGGGGCTACAGCACAAAGACCTCACCTGAAGGGGAGTTGGAAAGACTGCATTATTTTCTGGAATGATGGTTCTAGCAGTAGTGGCTACTAACAGGAGAAACAGCACGAAGTATGGGACCTGATCCTACAAGGTGCTTGAGCATCATCAGCACCTCTTAGAGTTCAGGCTAGTGGAAGAAACACAACTGAGACAGAACAAGAGGGAAACAGAAGTGGGAAAGTAGTCAGCATAAATTTTTCTCTTGGGTAGCATGCTGTGTTAAATTGTGTTGAGAAAAAAAGTCAAATTATTAGTCCATTTTAAGTGTCCAGTAGGACTGTTTGTCATCATCCAAATAAACAAATATAAAAACTAAGTTATTCCAACACTTTGCCATTTACAAGCAGTTGTTTAAATACTTTGTGATGCAGAAATTCTACCCTGATAGATAGGAACCAAATAGGTAGATAACAATTGTTTATCAAATGCAAAATAGAGCATGTACTGTTTACTGATGCTGTATAAAATTCATTGTACTCTATGAATCATTATGTTTTGAAAACACATCCTGAATGAAGGCTATTTTTTCCAAAGTGGTCCAAGCAAACTATTAGACGTTAGTGCTTCATTAATTACAATTGAATTTGTGCTGAGAGAGAGCGAACACCACACAGTCTCTCTCACGCTGAGCCAGATAAATTAAAAATTCATAATTTTCCATTATTATCTTGTATTTGTTTTAATGACATAATTGGCAAGATTCTACTGCCTGAGAATTTGAATTGCATTAGTATATGTTTCTCAACTTAATATAGCAAAGTTGCTATAAGATGGATTTCTGCTTTCGCAACAGATGCTTTCATGTGAGGGTTCTCTCAGTGGGGAAAAAAGTGAGAACTAAAAGCACTTAAGTACCTTGGTGCTACCCAGTACAGACTTCACTCCCAGCTGCTGCTACTTTTGAAGAAGCTGTTTTCTTTTCTATTCTCCTGTGGAAGCTCCTAGTACAATGAGCAAAATAATTAAGAGAAAATTGTAGTGTTTCTTTCTTTGCCAGAAGAAACTGCTCCTTACTAAATAACTTCTACCAGAAATCTTGGAAACCTGACAAATATTTGCTAATTTTTTTCATTTATTGTGTATATTATGGTAGGTCCTAGAGGCCCTCTGAGAACAGACCCCAACATACAAACAGACTAAGATACAGTCACTGCACAAAAAAGCTTGAAGACCATTGACATCTTATCCTCAGAGAAAATAATCTTGACAAGCTATGTTTTACTTCACCATGCTTCCATCACCACTAGTAAGGTGAATGGTTTTCCAGAAGCAGTTCTATCATTCTTGTTGCACAATTCCTGGTTTCCTCTTTCGCTTCACAGGTGGCTACCTTCCTGGACCCTAACTTTACTTTGGATGGTGAAAGAATGAGGCAGTTTTGTTTCAAAGTATTCATTTCTCTACATTGAAATACATGACATTTAATGGCCATATTTTCATAACACTGGGAGTTCTAGATTGGACCTGCACTTCTTACACAAGAAAAACACTAATTTAAGTCAGTTCAATTAATTGAAAAAACTCCCAGTCAGCTAATTTTGCTTGAGAAAGGACTACAGAATCAGGCTCTTGGTGGTTAAATATTTAGTTGTAGATTTTAAAAACCTTATTACAAAATAAGCTACTGATATTTATAATAATACTCTAACACCTGACAATCAATTAGTCACACTACATTTTACATAGTATAAGTAAGTCAATCCACTCTAATATTTGTTGGCTTTTCTTTGCTTGCATTTTTGCAATCTAGCTAGTTCCGGTACCAGAGCATTGAAGCTGTGGCAGCATGGGCTTCAGCACAGGCTGTACAAGCCCATCCAGAACCCTACTCAGGTAGCATGAGCTGAAGCCTGTGTTGCCATGGTGTCACTGCTCTGGTACCCAAACTATCATTAGGCACAAGGTCAAAAGTCTTGTACTGGTTTGCAGTTGTAAATGCAGTGAGGCTTTCGCAGAAAAGCTGTTTATTAAATTTTTTTTTTTGTTTTTTTTTTTACTAGTTTGTGCTACTGGAAGAATCTTTCTACAGTAACTTTGAGAAAATAAACTACATGGCCTTCAGCAATACTATTTGCTTGCATTGTCAATAGGAAACCAGAATGGTATACAAGAGTTTGTGGGCATAATGAGCCCCTATGCATAAACTATAGTCTTTCACATCACCTAGTACTAGTAATCTCTAGCTTTTTTGATTAGGTCTGTATGAACCCTGTGACCAAATATTTTCCTCATCTCTGTACTAAGTTCTCTTGGTGAGAAAGACTTTGTACTGATCAATACTGTCCATCACTAATCTGCACTAAAGTTTTCTGCAGCAATTTCCCATTCAAGTTAGCTGTAATATACCATTCATATATCACTTAATAGACTAGGTTATGCTAGTGATAGCCACTTAGGGTCAGGCCCATTTGATCATCATTTGAGGATGAGGTAACTTGGTCGCTGTAGATCTGGCTTAGTGCTAAACTCAGTATTTCCTTCTTTTCTTTGTAAAACCGCAATTCTTGTCCAGCTTTCCTGGCTTCCTCCAGCTCTCGCAGTGCCACTTGTAACTCTTGGGAAATAATTCCTGGAGATTCTTGCTCCTTCATAATCCAGTCCAGGGCCATATGACTTCTCATCCTTTCATCTAAGGAATACTGGGAATAATAGGAAATTACTTCCTATTACCCGAGAAATTCACAACAGAAAAATTATTAACAAAGATTCTCCTTTTAGTCAAACAGGCTCTAGCAGAACTTCTTAGATTCTGTTCTGGAATTTTAGCCAATATGATATTCCAGAGTATATCAGCAAATTTGTATCTGTCAAACACAACTAGCTAAAGAAGCTAATGTGATCATAAATCTAATGATGAAAAATTTAACATCCTAATCTTAATTGTAAATTTAGGACATTTAATATAATCCTTAATTTTTTAAAACAATCCTTATTTTTTAAAAATAAATAAATGAGAATTTATAATCATATAATTTACAAATAATAAAACATGCCATTTAGATTTTGAAGGAATTCTTGTGCAAGCAATATAGCATTTTACAGTATATTGCATCATTCACTATGAAGACTCTCAAAGCTCTTTACAAATATAGGTCTCAATCCTGCAAAGATTTATGTGTATGCTCAACTTTATGGGCTCATACTACTTAACCTGAGTGGGGAGAAGCTGGGGGGGGGGGGTGAGAGGGGAGAGAGAGAGAGAGAGAGATGTGTGTGTGTGTGTGTGTAGAAGAACTAACAACAAAT